TCCGACTGCGCCAGAAGGCGGGTTATGATTTCGAGAGTATGTATGAAGAATGTATGTATAATTGTTTGGCACGCTCTGGGGCCTGAGCGGCTTGATGGGTTTTAGCTCGAGGGGAGTCGTTAGATCCGTATTTACTGTGAGACTGGGTACGCCAAAATAAAAAAATTACACAGAAACTAAATTATATTTTACTTGTTTAAAGAGTCCGAAGCCTTTGCCACAAGCTGTGCGGACACCGGGGGCTGACGTAACGAGGTGCAAAATGTAAAAGAAACCCAGATCAGTATCGGTGTCTGACACTTCCCGCCATTGACGTTTGAAATGTCGGCCACATACTGGTCCCTGCTGACACCTTCTGGCCGACGCTCCTATCGTTTTTCTAATCGATGGGCTGACGGCGCACCGATGCGATGGGGGAAGCGATTCATCAAACTCGAATGACAGCCGCAATCTTGAATTAAGGACATTCGATACGCGAACGAAAAATAATATCGACTGTATGGGTTACGCGGTTTAAGCTCCGGACTTTTTGCTTCCGTCCCCGCATCGAATTGTGATCAGGTGGAACGAAAAAAACGGTTAACTCTCACATAACCGATTAGCATAGCAGTGTCCTGTCTTACGCCATAAGTCATGGGTTCGATAACCGCTAATTAAAAAATGGTTATGAACATGTTTTTTTGTAGTATATAGATCTATACTATGTATTTACTAACACAAGAATTATGTATGTTTAAGTATGTACGTTTATATGTTACCCATAGTACAAGCTTCATAAATATGTTTAGGAAAATATGATTAAATTAGGCCCGGAAATGACAAATACAAATAGATTGTGTGGTCGCTAAGAATAGAAAATGGCGCATAGTAAATTAATGTTTTACCTAATTTCGATCGTAAACTAATCGAACCCACGTCAGCCGGCGAAAAGCTTAGCAACTGCGCCACCGAGCCATCAAAGTATTAAAGTAACTGAGCAATTCCCACCCGTTCCTTCTACCCGTATTCTGGGCCGTTGTATACTCGTTTACGCCGCCCACGTTGGCCACAACCGATTCTTGAGTTGTCCTAATTAATGCGATCTATTTTCTCCAATTAGTTTAATCGCCACAAAAGCCGCCGAACGAGCCAACTGGAACCAATCGAGGGGCCATCGCTCGTAATTGAGAGTCAGGCTGGCCAGTATTCGAACGAGAGCGAATGCAATGGGCTCGCTTGGACATCGATTACCCATTTCGTGGTTGGGCAACCGAGTAACTGTCTAAAATATGGTATAAATTTTAAGAATAAAATATCAAGCTTACGTATTAATTTATAGTTCATTTATTTTTTATGTAAGGTCCGTTCGTCATAGCTCCGTGTCCGAGTCTCGAGCTACCTGAGTTCAAATCCCGTTGCCACCAGCTGTGAAGTCGTTCATTTTATATGCTGATTTATCAGTTGCTCAGCGGTGAAGAGCGCGATCCTACATATTTTCGAAACAATAGCAAAAAAAATATTTCGAAGGTATGTAGTGTTAGCTATACTCTGTTTTATCGAGCTAAGAAGGTAGAAATATAAATACTTTTACCAAATCACGTAGTTTCACTTTGCACAACAATAACACTGGTATAATTACTTATTTTATCACTTTAATATCACTAATGAAACACCCCCTAACAATTTAATTTCTGATACCGATTGGGCAGCACTATCGCGTATACTTCTTGTTGACAGCCAGAGAAAGACGAAGATCACGATGAAGGCCACTAAATGCTTCTTGCAACTTCATTTATACCTCACAGAATGACACTTGTTTTAGTGTTGCCAACAACCTTAAGGAATGACTTTCTTTAGTGTTGCCAACAGTAGAGTCTACCAACCCACAGTGCTTATTTCGAGGTAATAATTCTTGTTTTGAGTGGTGGAATTTTTAATGACGCTACCAGACCATTTACAAAATTACAATTATAATATTGATGTTGTTCTATGCAAATATAAATTTATGAACGTAACAGGTTAATCGTGTGGCAAGTGAGAGGTCCGAAAATATGTCACGCCACTTCAGGGTTCAAACTTTTGACTTTATATCGCGATTGCGGCGTTCCACTTTTGAGCCCGCACTGCCTTAGAATTTTTGAGAAAATAAAAAACATCAACCCACAAAAATAATGTCTTGATTACACCTTGGGTACACGCTAAGCATTGATTGACCGCGTTTGAATGGTCATAGAACTGTCCACTACGCTGTCTTCGTTTAGAACTTAGCGCGGGTTATAGACTGCGATACGCGTACAACTGTATTCATCCCGAGTGTGCTTTCGCGACGCAAGGATTATTTCTGGCCGTGTTTAAAATACAGTGTAGGAGAGAGAATGGCCGCGTTTATGCAATATTGTCAAGGACATCTTCGCTCCAATTAACGTCCGCACCTGCGCCTCGGATGTGCGTGGAGCGCGGACATCGCCACCCGATACGCCAGGTGTAACGCGACACGTGCGCGCTTCGATGCAGTCGCTTCGTCCCTGCGCTTTGTGCGTGTTTACATAACAACGTCCCGAGCGAGTAATTAATGTTTATTAATCGTAAATACTGGGGGTGGTTGTCCCGTACGGTCGCGAAGAACCTTACTTGACCATTTCTCCATTGTCGTCGAATCAATAATAAAATGCCATTAACTGATAAAATAACTGATAGTTTTTGTAGCGATAAAGGAGTAATTGTCTTTCTATGTTTTTGAAGTAATCATCAAATAAGATAAGGAGTTAATGAAATTATCGTCCAACTGTCCGAACAACTTGGTTTTTTAACAAAAAAAAAATTGTAGACGACTACGAGAAAACAATAATTTACTTGAACTGTTGTTTTTGCTGTCAGTCTTTAGACTATCAGAGCTTCATCGAACGCAGAAGCCTTGGGCTAGCTAGAACCCACGACTTGATACGGCGCTCTAGTTGGTTAGGGCTGCGTATGTGCTCATGTGTGGGTTATCTATAGGGAGGAATGTCACCGGGCAATCGAGGTTCGGTACGGACCTTCGCCCAGATGGCCGTTGATTCGTGGAGAACAACCGGCCCTGGATGTGGGTATCTTGGTTTTGCCATGCTCTTGGGCTAGGATAAACTGACAGGTTTTGCGGTAGTTCTAGCACTATGCGTGGGCGTAGTGTTGTCTAGCGGGAAAATAAAAAGATTTACTTGCTGTTTAGTGTGAAAAGCATAATACTGAAATAAATAAATACTGGTAGTATTAGCTTTAGTAATTATGGTCTTATCCGGCTTTCAGACATTCGTGTAACTTGTGCAGCGTTGAACAGCAACATACGGCGGTTGCGCGACAAGGGAACTCTCCGTCTATTAAATCGCCTTCCCAGCTTTGGACAAGTGAACACTATATTTTGTTCGCATTTAACCGTTGCCTTGACGACCGTAATGAGGGCATGCATGAGAGCTGCCCGATAAATTAAAGCCCGTTCATGACTCAATAATAAACCGACTAATGACACAAGATCGAGCGTTTCGCCCGCGAATCGAAGCGTAGCCAAGGACGAATCGGGTAACCAATGGACACTGCACATTGGCGGCATATTTGGTCACGTACATCGAGGAATTAACGTTATGACACAAGTTAAATGAAATAGTTTTGAACTTAAGCTTTTTCATTCATTTTCATATTATAGAATACTGCGTGTCTTGAATTATTTATAGCTTTTCAACATGTCCGATAATTTGTTAAAATATTTTTGTACATTTCTTTTGTACAACGTGCGAACAACGACATTCTATGTTCATTCTCAATTCCATTTAGATAGGATTTCACCGGAAACCATTATCGTATTTCGATAAAAAAACTTTCACCAATGTGAATCTAGGAATTTTAGATAGGCATAAATCGTAAGAACGTGATAATTATAGAGAAGAAGAACCGGATACAAACTATGAGTACGTACATGTGCTCGTTTTTTAAAATAAAGCGATGAAATATAAAGACATAAAAAAGAGAAGAAATAAAAAGACATGAAAATCCACAGTTTACATATTGTTTTCTTGATTTTACGCGAATATTATACATATTAAATGAAACTAATTTACGGATTTTATCGCGTTTTTTATTTTAATTTAAATTCCCGACGTTTCGAACCCTTTCCAGCGTTCATGGTCACGGGACAGACTGGAAAGGGTTCGAAAAGTCGGGATTTAAATTAAAATAAAAAACGCGATAAAATTCGTAAAGTAGTTTCATTTAATATCCACAGTTTAATTATTATATAATTTAGAGCCATCGTTACAATCGGGGTATATAGAATAAGAACTTAACTATGATGGGGCCACGCAACAATCTTCGCTGTTACACGAATGGGCAGGCCCGTCCGGGTAAGTACCACGACCTCACAGAAAAATGGCGTGATGAGGAAGTTCTATACTTCTGTTAGAAGGTGGTAACGCATCTGCAACCCTACGGTTGTCAATGGGTGGTGGTTATCACTTAACATCAGGTGAACCGTCAGCTCAATTGCCACCTTCACACATAAAAAAAGAAGCATCGTTACATTACTACGACGCGGTGGTATTGACAGGCGTGTTCAGAGAATGCGGTACGCTTCCGGTTCGTGGGGAGGAAGGCCAGAATCCGGAGTGATGGACCGCCCATCGTTGTCGGATTCCTTAACTCCAACCGGTCCCAGAGAAACCTGGCCCCGTTGAATCATCGCGATCGGCCTTTTTTAGCCACGTTCGAGGTCCGGGCAATTGTATCGGCAGCTACTTAATTATGTAATTATCGACTTAAGTCGAAAGAGCAATCGCAATTCCGAGGTAATTGCAAGGTTTTTACTTTTGCTATTACTGTGATGAGATTTACATTTGCTATATTAGATGCTATTACTCCTACGCATAATATATTACAATTACTTAAATTTGATTTTTGATACGGTAGGTAGATGAACAAGTTCTGTAAAATTCTTTCACTGTTATAATACCTATGAAAACTGAGCCTCTTGAATACTCGAAGGTTAGTTTTACCTTACTCCTCGGGTACATGCTGAGCACGTCCGCCCACCATCTCGCTTCTTCCCGGCTGGTGCCCTTGACGAAGGTCACGCGCTCAGGCGCCGTGATGGCGAGGCTGTGGGCGTGCCCCGTCACGCTGTCAGCCTCGCTCACCTCCAGCACAGTAGTCATATCCACGCTGGCTTGTGGGACCGTATCAGGCTGCAAAGGAAAAAAAATCATTAAATCAAGGAAAAAATTACTATACTCGCTACAATAATCGCGCGCAAGTAACGCCGGCTACCATTTTACAGTGGCACTAATATCCACAATCAGCCGTTAAGCTTAGTGGCTAAAGCATCTCGGCGCGAGTCTGGAAGACGTGGGCTCGATTTCCGCAGCGACGGAAAACTTTTCGTCCTTTTTTTTAAGTTTAAATGTTTCATCTTATGTGCAGAGATTAGCACTATAAAATGTTATTATTATTATTATTATTATATACTTTATTGTACAACACAAAGAATTTGATACAATTAGTATGAAATAAGTCTTAAAAGCTAGGTACAATAAGGCGGTCTTATCGCTAAAAAGCGATCTCTTCCAGACAACCTTAGGACGAGGAAAAATAAACTAATGAATAGTGGGAGGTGGTGTGCTCAATAAACTTACTTAATACCAAAATAGACTTAAATATAATAAGATAAACAAAATTATAATAAACATACATAACATAAATAAATATATAATATATATAAATAAATACACAAGAGAAGAATTAAATCTGAATATTGCCATTAAAAACTATGGATAGATAAAGCGATAGATAATGTTGTTTTACGTCAATTTTAAACTTGTCTAGCGTCTTCGAACGACGAATTTGCTGAGGAAGTTCATTCCACAAGCAGATGGCCTTAACTGTAAAGGAGTTCTTATAATATTTAGTTTTGTACGCATGTGGTGCTAGAATTAGATCTTCAGCTGATCGATCGCAGAACTCGTTCTGGATGGTTATGGCCAAGAAACTTAAAGTGTTCCTTTAAATAGCTTGGAGTCCTAGGGTTAAATAATACACAGTACAGAAGAGAGACAGTGTGTAGATTCCGGCGAAAACGAATGGGTAACCACTTGAGCATTGAACGAAATTCGGAAACGTGATCATATTTGCGTAAACCAAATATGAACCTAATGGCTAAATTTTATTTTAAGGATTGTGCTAGCATAATTTTAGTTGGAATGGGAAGAAAAGAACGTAAACGACGGAGAGAATCCATCGCAGCAAATGTTTTTCGGCTCACTTGATTCAATTGTTCCGACCACGAGAGGGAATTGTCAAATTGGACACCAAGATTTTTCACAGTGGTGCAGTACGGTATTATAACGTCATTTAATTTTACCAAAGGAAGGTTATTCCAGTCAACTCTTGAAATCAAACCAACACCACCAACAATAATAGCCTGGGACTTAGTAGGGTTAACATTGAGACCATAGATTTTACTCCATTCACTGACAGCGGCCAGGTCATCATTGATGGCAAGTAGGCAAGTCTTCAAGAGTTGACTGTGTGTACACTTGGAGATCGTCTGCATACATGTGATAGAGAGAAGTGATTTTTTGAGAAATTGAATTAATGAATACGGCAAATAGAAGAGGAGACAACACACCACCTTGAAGCACTCCGGCGCGCAATTCACACCAAGACGAGAATTCATCCTCTATGCGAATACGCTGCCGTCCGCCACTTAAGTAACTTTGAAACCAGCCAATCACTAGTGGAGATATGTTAATAGAACGTAACACACTCAACAGAATGTCAAAATCAACGGTATTAAATGCATTACTAAAATCTAGCAACACAAGTACAGTGAGCTGTTTATTATCCATACCCCGTTGAATGTCATCAGTAACTTTAACCAACGCTGTAGTCGGAAACCGGATTGAATAGGATTAAGAAGAGAATTTTTGTTCAGAGAGAGATTTAACTGTTGGAAAACTAGTTTCTCTAGAACTTTAGACAGGAACGGTAGAATAGAAATAGGACGAAAATCGGAAAATTGCAATGCATGGGCTTTCTTAGGGAGAGGAGTCACTTGAGCACTTTTCCAAGCTTCGGGAAACTTGAATGAAGAGATTGATGCGTTAAGGATATGGGTGATAATAGGAGTAATAAAGTCAAGGATAGATAAAATCATATTACGACTAACATTGTCGTCACCAACGGCATTAGACGAGATTGATAATATGTTCTTCTTAACATCACACTCAGTGAAAGGAATGAAATTAAACGGTGGAAATTCAGGAGCTGGCATGGAAGAAAGAATGTTCAGAGTGCGCGACTTATCTGAAATATCTAAGGAACTAGAAGAGGTGAAATATTCATTAAGGAGTTCAATATCTATATTATGGTGAAGCAAACTAGAAGACGCTTTACCAACTCCAAGAGATTGAAGAAATTTCCAAACTTTGGCAGGGTCGCCGTTTTCGACAGATTTGTGAATGTGGCGTCGTTGTGCATCTCTACACAATGTATTGCAGCGATTCCGCAGTTTATTATAATTTTGCAGATTTTTTAACAGAATGATCAGCTTTCAGCTTGCTTTTCGCATAGCCTTTTTTCTTAATAATGTTTTTAAGATCATCTGTTAACCACGGCGCAGGTAAATGTATTATTTTTACGGGTTTAACGGGGGCATGCACGTCATAAAGCTGTGTAATAAACGAATTAAACAATTCAACTTTCATGTCGACTGTAGGAGCATAAGCAACAGCAGACCAATCAATAAGCCGAGCATCTTCAAGAAGACTTTCTTTAGCCATTCCACCAAAACTACGCTGCAGAAGGATTCTCGATTTAGCTTTAGGAGGGCGAACTCTGTATGAAAGAAACAAAAGATCGTGATGAGAGAAAGCATCAGCCTCATGCTGGCCATGCTTCAATAAAAAATCAGGGGAAGACACAATTATAAGGTCGAGAAGAGAAGGGGTGCAGTCAGGTTGGTTATGAGTAGCAGAAAGCGGTAAAATATGTAAGTTACACGCTTCAGTAACCAATTTTAGCTTTTCACATCGATTGTCTCCTTTAATTAAAGATGTATTAAAGTCGCCCATAATTATTATGTGACTGTATGAAGGTATTAAATTTTCTAGTAAACATTCAAGTGTAGAGAAGTAGTCAATATGAAGAGATGGATTGTAACAAACGCCAAGAAGAATTTTGGTGTGGGATAATGTTACTTCAATAAACAGATGTTCGGCCGCATTAGAGGGAGGAGGCTGGGTGGACATACTTACCACAGAGAATGGAATATATGAACGGAGATAAATTGCCACACCACCACCACCCCTTCCAACCCGGTCATTGCGAATGAGGTGATATCCTGGTAATGAGTAAGAGGTAGATGGTAAACATGGCTTTAACCAAGATTCGGAGACAAGAATGGCATGAATATTACGGGACTCAAATGATGCAAGCATATCAGGATAGGGAGCCGGAATACTTTGAGCATTTATGTGAACCACATTAAAATTTTTCAGAGAATCTGAGAAATTTTTGAATTTCATGTAATGCAAATTATGACGTAATTTATTTTATAGCTGATGTAAACTTTTGTTTATGTATACCATTGAAATATGCTCAATAGTGGACTGCGGTAGGCTAGGCTAGTTCGGGCAAGGCAGAGTTGGTGATGATAATGGCGATTGTACGATGTATTTTCTATAAATTTTGGGTTTTGAAATCTATGACATGTTAAGAGATGTTACGATCGAAAAAGCGCTCAGGATCAATTACTAAAAATGTGTAAAGGTTCCCATCATTTTTTGGTGTACTACAGAGCAATGAATAATTTAAATAAATTTTTACCTCAGCGGGAAGTTCCTTGCGCAAGAACACGATGAACGAACGGCGTCAAATATGCGCAATCTTCGTTCGTATGTGACGTGCAATTTTTAAATTAACTCACTTAATTTAATATTCTCCGTTGCCAAATTATGGACCTGCGGAACGTTTTCCTTCACATTTAATCGCGAAATAATTGCGGAGCAGGGGAGACGGGTGGGATATTACAACTTAAACGTGCAAGTAGCCGTATCATATGTAATTGAAACAACATGTTATAGCGCATTAAACTTCGCTAAGATTTAAATGCTGCTGCAAAAATATATTGGGACTTCTCTGAATTGATGTCGGAACGATAATTTACTATCACATTTTTATTGCAACATTGATAAACTAAAAAGATACATACAATTAAGCGACAATTAAAATACAGTTAAGGCTGCATTAATAATCAAGGCAAGCTTCTTTTTTTACAAAATATTTTTATAGAGAATGCTAGTCGCAGGCAGGCTAATTACGAGTAAAACGCCGTCTGGTCCGTGTTAATTTAGAGTTATGGCCAGTGTTGTCCACGGGGCGGCGGAGGCTTCGGGAGCCGCGGGCGGTGCTGCAGACGAATGGCTGCATTCGCAGGATCGGCTACCGCGGCGGCGTGACGAACGATCCAGCATCCAACTCGGTTAGTCAAAGTCGCTTGCACGCCGCCGCTAAGCCCCCAATGCGTCATTCTGACGCTCGCAATTACTTTGCCCTTCACTAAGCGCGCGTGATTAGGCCTTTATTGCAGTACACCGTCCGGCAACTAGCGCCTGCCGGGATATCATATGTCCACAAAGGGAACATTTTCTGAACGAATCATTAAGTAACATTATATACTACAACCCGTACATACAAGTTTACAATCATCTATGAGATATACTTTTGTTAACTTAATATTGAATGTGAATCATTTCATGGTGGCAAGTTACGACAAGAATGATGACTGCGTGGCGCAGTTGCCAAGATATTGGCTTCGGCACCAGAATCCATGGGATCGATTCCCACACGTGACAACTATTTGTGTGATCCACCGATAATTTTAATTCTAGAAATTTCGTGTCTGTCCACGTGAAATTTATGTATCTAAAATGTCATTACAACACAGGGTAATGTTATCCTACAGTGAGGGGGTAATGTTTTCGAAGGAAAATACTTTCTAGGTTTCGTTGGGACCTACTACTCTTGCACACAAAAATAGAAATACTATGCAACGAGAATTATTGAGACAGTTCGTTCATTGTTTGTAAGAGAGACATCGAATACTATTATGTACTGTAACAAGGCTGTTCCGTAGTAGGTACTGTAAGCGATACTGCGACCTGCCGACCTTGTGTTTACGCAAACGAGA